TGTTTTTGTCATCTTATGCCTTTTAATGAAGATGGGAACATTGATAGGGAAATAATATAATAGCCAAAGCTCTACGATAGGTTTTTGTTTATAAAATTTTGTTGTTGTTCTCGACTTGATTTTTATTTTATTATCTCTTCTCCATAGTTACTATTTGCAAATAGTCAATAATATTGTAGGTCCATTTTATTGTTGTTCTTTCTAGGGGCCGTTATAACACATATTCATCTCATCATTTAACTTCTGTTGTACATATATTGTTGTATAGAAGATATTTTAAAGTGATTCATCAGGTGGAAAACTAAGTTTTGTAATAATGGTATGTACGAAAAGTGACCAGAAAAACAGTGCTAACTCGGTAACTCATGGCCTAATTTTAACAAAACTCGTTTTATTCTGTTTCTATTCTCATTTCATTACTATTGTGTTCAGTTTTTGCTGTATTTAATTACAGACAAGCAAACAAACAATCTCAGAGTTTTAGTAGTATATAGATAGATAGGTAAAGTTTCTTGTTTTAGCCATGCTAAATTTGCTTGCTGTCATACTTTAATAATTTAATTGTTATTTAGTTAGTAGCTTGAGTAGTCTGTCCATCATATGGACATTACCATGGCTATTTAATGTTTGTTGCCATGGCTATATACTGCCACAATGTTAATATTTATTGTCTCTATTATAAGAACCTAAGAGGTAAATCTGCTCCCAACAAATATTTGAGTGGAATGGTTACTACATGTTTTGTATTTCTTCTACTTCTCTATAAAAGCAATTTTTGATCAGTTCTTATTTTCAGGATTTATCCGTGTTGTATTTGTTATTTGTGTTACTTTCAAATCTTTGGTTTCTTAGAAGAGCAAGTTTCTTTTAACATTTTAGCCAAGTTTTCTGTACACCTATCTCAGCATATCAATGTACATTCTATTATACAAGGACTAAAGTTGAATATTACTTTCCAAAGTCTGTTGACTGACTGGAAAGGTGGAAGGAGTAGTATTTAATTTCTTTTTAAAGTGTGGTTTAAGAAATTCAAAATATAACAAATGTGTTAAATGTTCTATTCCAATACAATTACTTACCTCTGCTTACAGTTACAGCTATTCTCGACTTGAATGCCCTCTAGTGCACAAATTTTCACTCACCACTAGCCTTGAAACTCCCACCTAATTTGATGTGTATACCATTTGTTCAGCTATATTTAAGCATGCAACGTAGTATGAAACAGTCCTTCACCAATAGGAGTGCCTTAAACCCTCCTATCACAGCTGAGTCTCTCTATGAACCAAATCTTTACTTCTTGATTTGGCATGACAAAGTTAAGACCTAATACGTGTTTCAAACATTTTTTTTTTCTTTCATTCTTCCTTAATGCATTTTGACAATATATTCCTTTTATATCCCAACTGTTCTTTCCTTCACATAACATCGGCTGCCCACAAAGGTGATTTCGCCTTCACTCCTGTTTCCCTTCCTTCCATATCCCATCTTTACTCTTGCTCTGGTCAGGATCGTCTATTGTGTCCAGTCTGTGCTTACAGTGTTACTTGTCATGCACGGCATCCTTCTGTGTCTCTCGCTACATTTTTTTTTATCCATTGGAAACAATCCATTACTTGTGATATTTCTCCTATCACCCTTACCAGTTGGGATCGTCAGGTTATCCGTATTGTGTATTCCTCCATTGCTCCTGAATCTTGCTCCCCTGAAAAAATATGGAGAAATTAAATAAAAATAACTTACCCACTCAGAGTTGTACCAAGATATAAAGAATGGCTACAGGGTGAAGACAATATCCAGCAAGCAGGAAACTGCTAGATGGTGCAAGTAGTGCAACACAAAGATGCAAGGAGTGGTCTACATACCAGCATGAACAATCACCTCCAAAGGATGATGGAAATAAGCAACCAAGGACACAGCGAGGTGACAGATTTAATGGGATGATACACAGAACAATCCCTACTTTACATGATATTCCTGTCCAAGTATAATGATATTCAACATCTTTACCACGAGATCTGTAAGGTCTCATGCTCACTGTTGAGATGGGGTGTTCCACACGACTGTTTGCAGGTTCTTGCAGTATATTGCATCATAAATATGTTTGTAATGGACCGCACACTTGTGGACTAATGTGAGTAAAACAAAGAAATTGCTGTCCATCTCTAATATTCCTTTGATTACCAAATTTGGAATGGTCTGCTTTTCAAAGTAAGGTTTTGTGGTCACCAATTGCACTTTTTTTTTTTTTGGTTGATGTGTGTTCCAATGTGTTTCTTCTCCCCCATTCTTCTAGTGGAGAACTGGAGTCCTGGTAAGCTCCTAGCTACTGGGATGTCGAATCGTAGAGGAATCCTTTTGAGTGTGCAAAATTCCACTCAGTTGAGAGTAGAGCAGTGGCATTCTGTCTGTATAGAAGGCTTGACTATCCTACTGCCATAGGTCTGTCTTTTTTTTTTTTTGTACAGATGCCACCGGTCTGGACTGGATTTTTCCATCCGTTTTGCAGTTTGCCCCTCCAGCTGGGAACCCTCCCTCCTACTGCTGTGTGGATATTGGTTTCTGGGTGACTGGTTTTGGTTGGATCTGGACCAGCCAACATAAGTCCTCACATGCGATTGGGCTGGGAACTTACTCCTACTGCAGAATGGATGTTACATCTCCTATGCTGATTGGTTTTGGACTGGGAATTGACCATCCTGACATTGTCCAGATGTACATTCCTGGGGTTTATTGCTGCAGGTTATGCTGGATTTGTGAGCATTATGGTTTAGGTTCTCGAAATGAAGGTTCCTCCTCCTTTCTGATGCCTAGACCCGAGGTGAATTGTTGAGGACCCTCCTCCTACCATGAGCTGATTGAGTCCCCCCCCCCCAGTGCCTATTGGTCTGGAATGGAGTTGACCTCCCTCTAATGGTCCGACATGCCCTAGCCATTCTACACACATTCCTCTTCCTCATAATTTCCAATTGTTACTTTGTTTTGCCCTTTGATTGTGACATCACACCTGTTGGCTCTACATGGGTGAAGAATATACCTGGTTCAGATGTGGTGTGGTCTCCCACGAGTGTTTCCTCTCCATAGAGATGGCACACTATGGGTGCTCTTCAGATGCTCCTATACACACTGGTCCCTCCACCTGCTCAATGTGGAATTCTAGCTGTAACTGTGAGAGGGAGGTAAGTAATTGAATCAGAAGTTAATATTTTTCTACACTGAAAATATATTTCTGATAGATACTTCCCACCTCTCTTCCCCACTTCTGTCATCGTTTTTCGTGCCTAATCTCGAAGTGAAGGTTGGGTTCAATTGCATAGAGGGAATCCGCTGTGATAGGAGGGTTGGTCACACTCCTATTGGTGGAGGACTGTTGCATGCTAATTTGATACTTTATTTACAGCTAAACCACACGATAAAATATATGCTTTTGAATACATAATCAAATTTGTACCACTTTTTTTTTTCTTTTTATTATTCTAAATAGATGTATTCATTTTTTAATATAATTCTGTGAGAATGAAATTGCCCTCTTCCCTCTGGATGTAATGTTGTGCTACTTTATTTGAACTCGGACATGGTGCATCGTGAATATTATAGGTGTAACAAATGGTTTTGTAATCAAAGTGGTTTAAGCTGTTAGATAGTTATTCGTAGATTTATTCTAATATAGTTAAATTGATCAATAATTGCATCTTCTTTTTATTTGAATTTTCAGTATTATCAACAAATTTAGAAAGTATCCCAGGCTTAACAAACGCTCATCCGGTTGTATTTGGAATCAAAAGCATTACAAATGAAAGTATACATTCTCCGGCCCTTGTGAGCATTGAAGCTTCTGTTGGACATATAATGTGGCATTTAGAGCTTCCTTCACAAGCTAATTCTATCACGTGCAATGAGCTAGATGTTAATGATGACAAGGTGCTAGATTGTATGGTACTTGGTGATGGATTCTTAATGTTAATTAATGGAACTGATGGTAAGTATGAGGAAGAAAGGATAATTTCTTTGAATTAAGTCTTAAGTGTATTGCAGTCCGTTGTTAAAAAAAAAATAATAATTTCATTAAATTGTAAGTTCATTTTGATAGCATTCAGTGATTCTGACTAGATAATGTTTACGTAACTTTAATTTCTAAAACTATTATTCACCGAGTATTTAGATTTAAAAAAAACAAAAAAGATGTTGCCAATTTAGGTTCTCTTGATCGTGAGAAGCCATTCTTCTGGTGTAGACTTAAAACCTAAAAAAAAAAAGAACCTTCTAACTAAAGATATGGAACTTGCATCCTAAAATAAAAGGCCTTCTAACTTAAAGATATGGAACTTGCATCCTAAAATAAAAGGCCTTCTAACTTAAAGAGCTTTACCCCCTGACAACAAAACCCAGTAACCCTGAGAATAGCATGGATGCAAGTCACGTATGTTCTTGAACCATATTCTTGTTTTTTATATTGTCTGAAAAGATTTAACTCTGTCATTACAGGTCAGATTTTTTGGAAACTTCAGTCTGAAGCCTTCTCCAGTCCAGTAGTTGTTTCTGATTGTGATGAAGATACCATTGCTGATATTGCTGTATTTTCCTCATCTCCAAACATTTCTATCTTAGTATTATCTGGGTCTTCAGGAAAGACCGTTTCATCTCATCCTGTACGTCAGTGTAATACGTTGCCAGGGGTTGCTGTTGCTCGCAAAATGGGAGCGAAAAATTTGTTGGATGTAATCTTTTCTTGTGTTGATGAGCAAGAAGATGGTGAGAACTAAGTATATTGAAGTCATTATCTGTTACAAGTTAATGTAATGAATGGACTTGTCATAAACACTATGAGGAAGTGAAGAAACACTGGTGTTTTCTTATTAATTTTAATCTATTTGTTCCGACAAAATATCTTGGATAATTGTGTTTGAAGTAAGACAAAAATGCTGTGCTATCATCTGCTTTTCTTTTGTCACAGTCTGAAGTGATAGTAATATTTGTGAAGTATTTATATGAATAATTTATCCACTCTTTTCAGATAAGGACATCACAGTAAACATGATTCGGTAATATTTCTTATTGGACCTTATGAAAATAATGCTTTAAATCATGACACTCAAACATGGATATTGATATATACATATAAAAAGATTCCCACCTATGACAAAAAAAAAAAGATTAAACTTAGGTTACTGTTTCCATTTTGATAATAGTTGGTTCTGTCATCTGTTACTAAGAAAGTATTAATATCTCTCCTTACAATGAGTGTTAGTTTTTTTTATCCTGAAATATTAGGACATTGAATATATTAAAATATAAGATAATGAGGTGTGGGGTAGAAAGTAATGTGAAGACATTTAAATATCTCAAATGTAGTTGTAACATGTCAGTATGGAATACAAATTGTAAGACGAATTTAAAGGTTAAAGATGCCTGACTTAGTGGAACATGTTGAAGTATAGGAAAACGTGACATTTATGTCTTTAGTACTAGTATAACTTACATGAAGTATTAAGTAGTCAAGAAATTAGTCTTCTTCTTTTGATGAAAAAAAACAAACCCCGAACAACTTATGTAATATCGAAACAAAACATTTATTAAATTAAATAGTCTCCATTCTTATCGATGATGCTTTTCCATCATACAATCAGGTTATAAATACCCTGATTAAAGAAATCACTTGGCTTTGAAGCAAAAAAGCTCATCTTTCCTCTTTAACAGCTTCCACATTTGCATACATTTTCCCATTAAGATGGTGTTGCAGCAAACAAACAAAAATTGTAATCTGATGGTGCCATATCTGGAGAATATGGTGGGTGGGGGAGAACTTCCCAACCCAACTC